GACTGTCACAGGAAGGGGACAGGGTGTGCCTCCCAGGGCAGGGAAGACCTCCAGAGAGGCCTCTTTGACAGGCACGATGGGAGGAAAGCAGGGATCCTTCCAGCCATATCAAGCCTGATCTGTGTATTGGACACTTGAGAGGAGACTGCTGTGGGGCAGGTGGAATTCTGGGGAGAGGTGAGGGTGGAGATAATAGGGGTTGTCACACAGTGGGCATTTTAAATTCTAAGACTGAAAAGCCTTCAGAGAGTGAGTGGAGCCAGAGAAGCCTGAGGACTGAGCCCCAGAGCCCAGCACCACACGAAGGTTGGAGAGATGCACAGGGAGCCAGAACAGACTTAGAAGCAATTTTCAGTAAAGCAGGACCAAGAGAGAGGGGCAGCACAGGCAAGACGAGAAACTGCCCCTAGAGAGAGGCACTGTCATCCGCATCCTAGGCTGCTGAGGGACCTCGTCAAACTGGACCAGAAGTTGACCATTGGCTTTTCAGTGTGGTGGACATGGGCACCTGGACCAACCTTGGCTTTGGGGGCTGGTGCCAAAGAAAGCTGATTAGGAGTGGGACTGAGAGAGAACAGGAGCAAAGGAATTGGGGCTGCAGAAGTAGACAGCTCATTCAGGAAGCTTTGCTCCAAGGAAAGCAAGGAATTGAGTTTGTAGGATGAAGGAACAGTAGGGCCAAGCAGGGGTTTCTTTTACTGCATAGAAATGACTATAGGCCATCTGCTTGCCGATGACCCTGGGGTGCAGGGGGCTAACTGCCAGAGCCGTGAGCACACATCTGTGAGAAGGGCTGAATTTCATGTGCAGCTGGGGTCATTGGTGACGTGTGGGAGCATAGAGAATTTTCCCCTGGAACAAGAGGGAAGGCAGCGTATAGTAGTAGAAGGTGGATGGCTGAGCCTGAACATTCTCTTCTATTCTCTGCAGAAGACAGGAAATGAAGCCATCACCCAAAGTGAGGATGACAGCAGACACATAGTAGGTTGAGGAAGAGTAAAATGGTCATTCAGAATGTGGAAGCTGAATGGCACCAAGGGGGGTCATGGATCCAGGGTGATTTTGTGGTTTCCTCTTTCAGTGCAGACCATGGAGTGAAGGCAGAGCTGGATCTTACCAGTTTTGCCAGGCAAATATACTAATGGGAGAGAGGGCCAAGTTCATGGAGGGAGAAGAATAATGACCTGACTGGTCTTTCAACTCACTCATCTGTTCATCTTCCATCTGTCCATTCACCCATTCATTAATCCAACCAGCCTATCCACCTAGCCATCCTTCTATTTATCCATTCATCTATCCATACCTATCCGTCTGCTCACCCACTGTCTTAGTTACTTTCCTTGTTGCTGAAACAAAACACCCAAAACCCAAAGTTAAAGGAAGAAAGATCTATTTTGGCTCACAGTCTGTAAAGGTTTCAGTCTACAGGCAGCTGGCTCCAAGGCAGGATAGCATGGCAGAGGGGATCTCAGAGGAGAAACAGTTCATGGTGGGCAGTAGGCAGGAAAGAAGTAAAGCAGCAAGCAACAAGTAGCAACACTCTTTCTGTCCCTTGTATCCCATCCAGGGTACCACTCACATCCAGGGTGAGACAGCCTTAATCCTTGCCAGCATCACATCCACAATCCCAGCAATCACACACCCTAGATCCAGCCACCTCCAAAAAGCTCCACCTATAACTGTTTGATGCTTTGGGGGAACACCTAGATACAAGCCCTAACTCCCACTCATCCATCATCCATCCATATATGTATCTATTCAGCCCCTCATTGGGGTTCCTCCAAGTGCAACAGGGTGCTGTACTGGGCATAAGAATGTGGAGACACAGTGTGAATGAGGCGACCCTGCTCTGGGAATTCACCATCCCCTGGAGAGCCAGGTGCTTTAAAAGGCTGTTCCAAAATGATGCCATCTGAAGCCCCACAGCCTGGCAGGGAACTCTTCAACTCATGCCTTCCAGCCCCAGCTCCTTGCTGACTCTGACCCCAGCAGACCTGGAAAGAAAAAAGAAAAGGAAGGGGCCAAACACAGGCTGTGCCCCCTCCATGAGCCAGGCACTCATGTGCTCTCTTGAGCTTTTTCATGGAGTCTGGCCCAGGGCTCTCTGCCTGGGCCACTTATCAGAACCTCCTGGGAAATGCAGGCTGCAAGTGGCCTCAGTTGCTTAGCTGGCACATTATCAAAGCTCATCAAATGGTTGGGAAGTGCAGCTGGCTTTCCACACTGCCCCCAGTGTGCATGGAGGTGTCACCAGACAAAGGTGTTGCGGGTCACCCCCAGACCTGCCGAGTCGCATTAGCTTGGTTTATTCTACATTCCTTTATCTGGGACATTGTAGTGACTATTTGCAGATGGAGAACCCTTTGCAGAAAGGATGGATGCTACCTGGGACCACCTGTTGGCTCATCCCTGTGCATTCTAGGGTCTAGATGCTGTCATTCTCTTACCTCACAGGACTCTCCCAGGCAGGGCCAGTCTGTGTGGAGGTACAGCCAAGTGGGTTTGGGACCCAGGCCACCTGCACTACTCTCCTGGCTCCTGTACCAACCTGGCAAGTCCCAGAGTATCTGAATCTCAGTGTCTACCATGTGGGATTCAGGAGGATTAAATGAGTATCTGTAAAAGCAAAGAACACTGTGTGCTCAAATGTATAGTGTCCCTAAAATGTCCCCATCTGACAGGGCCTCTTGCCTACCTCAGGCCCTTTCAGATCTGACGCACACTGCTGGAAGGTCCCTGACTGTGCCCTTTGGCTTTGGGCTCTGGGATGCAGCCCTATGGATCCTTACCCAACACAGTGGGTGTGATTGGCAGCTGTCACTCAGCCCCAAATGGGACCCAGGGAGGGGTCTTTGGGGAGAGTTGAGAGTGCAGCAAGAAGGAAGCAGGTGGGCAGGTAGCCCACCCTTTCTCAGGTCTTGGAGGAGTGCGGACAGGGGAGCTGGGAAGATGGTGTAGTCCGTGGTGGGTTAATCAAATACTTATCAGCAAATTGATCTTTCCCCATGACTGCCAAGGCCCACTGATCGCCCTCCCCTTGTCACCAGGTGCTATGTCTACGTGTCCTCATCCCTCCCATCACGTGCGCCACCCCAAGTGCTAGGCGCCCCCCACCCCTGCGTGGCCCCCCGTCCTGTGTTCCTCTCCCCCACTCTAGGTCCCCCCTTCCCCTTTTGGACCCCAGCAGGTCTGCTGACAGTGGGTGATGTAGCTTCCTGGGCTACTGTGGACCAATGAAACAAAGACCTCCAGCAAGGCAAGGAGGTGTCCCTCGCAGCCCAAGTGTTGCCCTAGTTTCAGGCTCACTGCAGAGAGGATGGGACCAGCAGCTGTGCAGAGGAGGAGGCAGGAGGAAGAGAGAGAGAGGGCTTCTGCACCTGAAGCTTCCCACTCGGTGACAGCTCCACTGCACAGCCCAGTGTGAGTGGCCCCAGGGGCTGTGGAGAGCAGGCAGCCATAGGCTTCTGAGCAGATCCCACTCATGCACGTGGCCCTGTGGCAGCCAGGCCTTCGGAGGACTTGGTGCCTTCGCGGGTGCCAGGAAGAGTCGGTTACCTTCTGAGTGAAGGGTTTGGGGAGTACAGGGCCAGGCATGTTCTCCAGAGGGCAAAGATGGACCAGGACACGGGACATTAAAGTGTGCGGGGCTGGCCCATGAGGGGGGCATCGTGGGTGTGAGGGGTTCCCCATTGGCAGGAAAGCCACTCGGCCTGCAGCTGGAGGTGTCAGAAGGACAGCAGTAGGAGGGCAGCCGGCCTCACGCCCGCATCTAGCAGGTGCTCACTAACTGTGTACTGGGAATGAGGTGTGCTGGTCCCAGGCAGCCCAAGGACACAGTGAGGGGTGGGGGGCTACATACCGGTCCTCACCTTAGCAAAACCACGAGGACATGACCCCCAGCCATGTCAGACCCACCCTCGTCTGGGCAGGGGCCTTGCCTTGGCAGCTGCTCCAATGGGGAATGGCAGGTGATGGGATTCTCACCACACGCCCTGCGAGTGCATCTCACCTGCTCAGGTCCTGAGCATGTCTGCAGGGAAGATGGGAGTGAGTGAGTAGCTGGAGTCCCCTCCCCTCCACTGCCACCCTGAGAGTGAGCAGCCCCGGGCTCCTCTGGGCAACTCAGTACCCCCAGGTCAGTGGCCTCACGAGCACCCAGAAGGCCTAGGTGGGACGAGGGATCGGCACCACCAACTCCCCAGTGTGCACATAGTGGATCTGGGCACCCCACTTCAACAAGCACTGCTCTGATGCCCTGCAGGGGCCACACCAAGAGTCCTGGCCTCTCAAAGCCCCAGGGAGCAGCTGCGCTCAGTGATGAGAGAGTTGTGTCCTTCCCTGGGCAGCAGGCCTTCGAGAGAGTGAGGCGGGGTCTCTGCCGGCTGTAGGGAGATCTGAAGACTGGGGCAGGACCTTCCGGGCCCTGCGACACTGTTGTTTCGGCTTCTGCACAGTGAGCTCCGAGGGAGCCCAAGGTGGCTGTGACACCTCCCACCCTGCTTTCAGCAGGAAACCCAGGGCTTGAATGAGGTCAGAGACGGGCGATAACGGCCCCATCCTGTGCTGGGCGATCAGTGCTGCTATCCTGGTGATGGTGGTTTGGGGGGCACAACTGTCAGGGCACCAGGTAGAAGGTATGGAGGAGTGTGGTTATATCTCACAACTGCATGTGGGTCTACAGTTACACAGTATAAAGTGATCCGTTTTTAAAACTTAGAGGTGTTTTGTTAAAAAAAAGTAAAATAACCTCAAGTCAAATAGCCAGGTCTAATAAACACAAGTGGGTTCGCACCCAGGGGGTCTCTTCGGACCTAAGCTGGGTGCTCATCCCAGCACCTCCTACTTACCAGAGCTGGTGTCCCTCCTCGGAGAGCCCCAAGAGGGGGCCTGGAAAATGTGCCTAAAAGTACTGTGCCTACCCACGGGAGCTCTGGGAAGTGTGACCCGCAGACTGTGGGAAGGGAAGGATCCTAACGTGGCCTTGCTCTCTCCCTCCACAGGGCAATCAGGACGCCACGGCTCCGCCTGAGGCCATGGCCCAGCCCTACCCCCCTGCCCAGTACCCGCCTCCGCCCCAGAACGGCATCCCCACCGAGTACGTCCCGCCCCCACCGCACCCCACGCAGGACTACTCGGGCCAGACCCCCGTCCCTCCAGAGCACGGCATGACCCTATACACACCAGCACAGACCCATCCGGAGCAGCCGGGCGCCGAGGCCAGCACGCAACCCATCGCCGGGACCCAGACAGTGCCGGTAAGGGGCCCTGCCCTCCCCTAAGGGCGGAGCGTCCGGGAGGGGGCGCTCAGAAGGGCCTCTGTGGATGGGTAGCAGCTCTGGTCCCGGTCCCGGTCCCGGTCTCAGGGTCTTCACCCAGCGTCCCGGATCGTGCACTCATCTCCGCTCCCCGAGCACCCTGTGGAAAGGGGTGCACTGGGGTGGGGCGTGACCCTGCCTGCCATTCTGGCCTCGGGCAGACTCTGACCTCATCTGGGAGGTGGGGCGCGTGCCCTCCGTTTGCAGGCCTGTGACCTGTTAATGGAAGGCAGGGGAGCTGGGGAGGCCGTGGCTCGGCCCCGGGTGGAGTGGGTGGTGGGGAGGCAGCCCAGCTGTCTCGAGTTGCAGTCCCTCCTATCATTTCTAATCACTTGTAATCTACCTGCTTGGCTGCCCTCCAATCAGATAGCTTCAATTATGTGGTTGTAATGCAGCTCAGAGGCGAAAGTGCTGAGCCCTGCACGTCTCAGGTTTCCTGATGGAGAAGGGAGCTGGTGGGGAGCAGCTCCCTGCCTGGGTGGGCTGTCTGCCCCAAGAGCGAGAGTGGGCCGCTGCTCAGCCCAGCCTCCACCCCACTGCCCACTGCCACCGTGCCACCTGCTCCTCCCCGGGCCTCTCCCAGCCCTGCTCCGGGACTTTGGATGCTCCCCACATCCCTGCTGGCTCTGTCCCAGCATCTGGCCGAGCTGGCTGGTGGGGACTGGGCTGGAGGCCAGCACTCTACTCCTGGAGAGACCCCCGGCTGTGCTTCCTCAGCCACCCCCAATCCAGGGTGGATCCAGGGGTTCCCCTCCCCTCTCCGCAGTCGCCCCGTCTGTCTGGAGAGCCCACCCAGTTGCCCGTGGGCAGGACCCAGCCTCATCTGGCCCAGCCAGTGTCCTTCCTCTTGCAAAGGACTGCCAGCCTGAGTCCACTCGGAAGCTGTCAGAAGCTCCCATCCCTCCCACCCGCATCATCGTACAGATGTCTCCAAGGGGCCCCTCCGGGGTTCCTGCAGCCATGGACCATAGATGCACAAGGCCAGACCCAGGGACCTTAGAACTGGGAGCCAGACCACCTTCCCCAGGTACCCTGTCTCGGATCATGAAACTCACAATGTTTGTGTGCACAGAATAGACAGAGGTGTGACCCCTGGCGCCAGAGAAGCCTGGGTCTCCTCTGAGGGACTAGGGCAGGCAAGACCCCGCTAGTCCAGCCTCTGACAGCCTCCTTAGGAACAAATGGCGTTTCAAGGTGAGCGGGGGGCTTTGCCTGGAAGAACGCAGAAGGCAAGATAGTCGGATTCACTGATGACACGGGGTGAGGGCTGACGGCTCACAGCTGAGCAGGACAGATGAGCATCCGGCCATGGACACCCTGGGACCTGCATGGAGTCCTCTTATCATCCTGCATCTACCCAGATGGGTGCTGCATACCACTGCCTGCCAGGCACTAAGTCAGCTCTTGAGGTGCAGAGAGAAGTGGCCAGCTCTGCCTTCTGGTTCCTGCTGGTTAATAACAGAAGCATCGCATGGGTGGCCCTGGAGGATCCTGAGCAAGTGTCCCTGCACATCCTGAGGAACACACGGCCAGAGGCATTGGGGCCTGGATGCACCGGCAGCCTGACCTTGCTCCCACAGGCTGGTCCTCAGATCCCACACAGGGGTCAGGGCCCTGCTACAGAGAAGAGACAGTTGTTCTTGGTGGCCTGGAGCTACATGCAGGCTGTGGGTGGAAGGTTCTGGGCCGGCGCTAGTGAGAAGACCTTGACATCAGGACTGCCCTGCAGAGACCTGGTGCATCTAGAGATCTCTCTGACCTTGAGGCACCTGTTCGGGCAGAGCCTTCCCACCTTGAGAGGGAGTTGGAAAGGAAGATGTTCTAAGATTCCCGGAGCCACTTTCCTTCCGGTGTGCTGGGTCAGGTGTCACCGTCCTGTCCTTGCAGACATTAAGAGGGTTCTTTCAGCTCACTCAGCCCCCTCTTGGACCTTCCCAGAGTAGCCAGGGGTTAGGAGCAGAGGGCACTCGGGTGGCAGGCAGGTGGCCTCTGCGCTGTGGTCTAGACCTGGCTTCCCCCACCTGGGTCAGGGGTCCACTGATCTCCCAGGGTGCAGCCACCAAGTGCCCACAACACGCGCACACACAAAGTCCCTTTAGGGGGCCCCTCTGACACCTGCTATTAGCACTAGATCAGGGCACGAAGCCTCCATGTTTCCACTGCTGCAAAGGCCCTGCAGCCTTCCTGTCCTCTCCACGGGATTTTCTTCTGCTGGTAAGCACAGCTGCCTGGCAGGAGCTGTGGCCAGGACCAGCAGGGAGGGAACCCAAGGCCAGTGCAGTTCCACCCTCAGCCTCCCTCTCATAGCACACAGTCGGCCTCTGCAAGGCTGGCCCTGCCTGGCCCAGGGTGACACCAGTGGCCTGGCCTGGGCTTGAGCCTGAGGCTGATGGATGGGAAGGAGTGGTAGCCCCACAGCCCACACATCCTCTCCTGCCTCACCCCTAGACAGCACCCCCAAAACACACACTGGGCTCCAGCTCAGAAAAGGACTTTCCTGGGATTTCTGGATCCACTGGGCTTTTTGTCCTCCTGCCTCAGGAGCGTTTCCAGCTGATAATCAGGAGGAATCCTGTTCCAGCCAGTTTAGGTTCCCTCCTGACATCCCACCGCCAGGGAAAGATGCCTAAGGTTGCTGAGTAAAAGGCAGGGATCCTCAGAAAGGTGGCACCAAATCATGCCATGGTCACTCAGCCATGGTGTCCGAGGCTGCAAGGGTGGAGGTGGGGATGTGGCGCATCAGCCTCAGATGCCTCGGGTGTGTTCAGTCGCCAGCAAGATGCTGAAAGTAGCCTGTCTGTCGTTCACAATCCAAGTAGCCCCAGGAGGGGCTGTCCAGAGCGCTGGTTCCAGCAGGGGGAGCCAGAGAGCTGCCAGAATGATCCACTTTGGCTACCAGAACTGACAGCTGGGCCATCGGTGGTCCTTGGAGGAATAGGATGAGCAGAGATGGGGCTGCAGAGCGTCCAGTTGGTGATGCAGAGTGCATCACCAGCAAAGATTGGCTCTGGCCTGGCCACATACATGGTCACCTGCCTGCTTCCCAAGGCCCACTTGGACCCCCTCCACCCGCTGACCCTTCACCTCTCTGTGCTGAGCTGGGCGCAGGTGCAGGAGATGCAGGCTCCTCTGCAGGTGGGTGATGCCCTGGGCATCTGGACCTGCCCAGGCCCTCCAGGAGCTGGCCGCTGACTTGCATGGTGGGAGGGCTGCAGTGGCTGGGTGGAGACACCAGAGCCTAGCCACCAGGACTGGCAGGGGAGGGAGGGAGTTTCCCTACAGTTGGTGTTTCCTTTTTCTCTGTATTTGAAATCTGGAAGAAGGGAAGATTGCTTTTTCTGAAAAAAAAAAAAAAAAAAAAGGACAGAAAGCCCCTTGGAAAAGAAAGGCGGCGGGCAGTGGAGGTGCCTGGACTGCTGGGGTAGATGGTGGGCAGGTCTGCATCTCCGCTCAGGGGCAACGGGATGCAGTTTGCTCTGGGGCTTCTCAGCACATCTTACAAGTTTACAGTCACTGAACCCATTTATCTGCCTTTGTCCCCTGCTGGACCAGGGGCAGAGGAGGCACGGGCATTCTTCCTTCCTGTGTCCTAGCCCCTTGTGGCTCAGCCCACACATGCCCCTCACCCTTTTCTTTCACCCGCCCCCTGGCTGAGCCCCTTTAGGGTCTTTAAAGTGGGATGTGGGGCGCCCCAACTTTATCGATGCCATCCCATGACTGTCTTCCTGTTGGCCCCTCTGCCAAGGTTCCCTGGGCTCCTCCAGGTGGCCACCTGGCTGTGATGACCACTGCCCTCTGGTGATCAAAAGCCAGTACTGCATGCCCCATACCAGGCCCGATTCCCAGTCCAGACTGATTCCATTAGACACCTGTAACCAAGAGCAGCCAAGCACACAGGGAAAGCACTGGAAAGGGTGAGGATCACTGCCTGGATTCCACAGGAGAGAAAGGAGCTGTACCTGCCATGGCAAGGCAGTGGAGCTAAGACCTGTGCAAGGACCTAGGATGCTTGGACAGTTTTTTCTTGGTGCAAGAATGTGATTAACCCTCTGGAGTCTAGCACAGGCCTGCTTTCTGGAACAAGGACTGGGACTAAAAAGGATGGCAGCTGAACCTAGAGGCTACTGGGCCTCTCCAGGCCCCAGGTGTGGATGGAGGAGCCCCTAGTGTGTCCTGTGGAGCCATAGCACTCTCCATCAGAGGTGAGGATCTGATGCCAGCCAGACTACGGCTCTCTAGAGGCCCCCACCAGCAAGCAGATCTACCACCCGTGCTTTTCCTGCCTGAGCCCAGTCCCCCTTGCTGGGCTACCGCAGTGGCGCTTTGTTTAAAGAACAGTTGTCAGACTTGGCCGGACATGCTTAGGATGGTCAGCTTGTCAAGACCGACCATGTAATGCTGTAAGCGATACAAGGACAGCCTGAGCCCACCTTCCAGCACAGAAAAGCAGCATTACATCTGAGGACATTTGAGCAGGAAGCTCTATACTCCTCCAGGCCACCCAACCCCTGTGCCTAGTCACCACCTGGGTTGTCATCAGGCTTCAGCAAGCCCATGGGGTGGTAGCTTTTTTGGTCGCCTAGGGGCAGCAGAAGCCTGATAAGAGGCCTCCAGAAAGGACAGAGAGAACTGGATGGCCACTCCAGCTGGAGTCCAGAGACCAGCCTCTTCCATTAGCCACAGTGTGGCCTGGGAAAGACTCTGCCCCGTGGGCTCCATTCCTACAGCTGCAGAATAAGGCGTTGAGCATGGTGACCTTGGGCTGCACCTCACTGTCCCGAGTGAGATTTAGCCATCATTGCTCCTGCTGCTATAGGCAGTGAACAGCACACACACACACACACACACACACACACACACACAAAACTATGCAAACCAGGCCCTTTCTGGACACCGTGGTGATTGTTCCTGTGTCTCTTAACTCAGCTTTTTCCTATTCCTGGGACCTCTCGCTGTATGCCTCTGCTCCTGGGACCATACAAGAGACCACAAGCCACCAGCACCTTGGTTTGTCTCAGTTCCAGCACAGGGACCCTAACTGCCCCATCTCAGCTCCAGAATGGCTCAGGATGGCTGGAGCCAGATACCGCCTCCTCCCAGTGTCTTAGAAGCAGCCTCAGGATAAGGGCTCGAGTGTGAGCGGTGTGTTGGGGGGTTTATTCCTCCCACCCAGAGGGCCAGCAGGGAATCAGGGCGGGAAGGGAAGGAAGCTGACAGAAAGTGTGTTCATGGCAGCTAAGCTCAGCACCACTGGGGGATCTAGGGACAGTGACCCCTCTCAAAGGAGTGCCCTCTGCTGTGCTGAAGACCTCTCTGGACCCTACTCAGTATGGGCCACTGCCCGGCCGGCAGGCTAAGCAGGAGAAAATGTGCAGGCCGGCTGGCGACCCGTGCTCTGGGTGCGGCCTCAAGCCTGTACATGAGCTCCCCAGCCACCTCGATCCACCATCCATTCGCAACCGGGACCGAGCCAGGACCGCCGGAGACGTCCACCAGAGGCTCAGCCTCCTCACCAGGGCCTGTGCAGGGTGTGCAAGTGCACGGCAGCTCTGTTCTCTGTAACCCAGGTCCTTCAGGGGCCATCCTTCAGCCAGTGTTTGGGTCTAAGTGAAGATGGCCTTTACAGGACTGACCTTGGCCGCCCAGAGCCTGGAGTGCGGCCGCAAAATTAGAGTAAGAAGCCTCCGCTGTGGATGGTCGTGGGGGACAGGCATCCTGTAGATATGTGTGCCCAAGAGGCCCATCCCAAAGTCTGTCTGGTCCTGACACCAGAATGGCTGCTGGGTCCTGGAACCTCCTTGAGCACAACAGTAATCACTGAGGCTGATACCTCCGTGGATGGGCCTGAGTGAGGCAGCGCAGAGCAGACCCAGCACGGAGTGAGCACTGGGGTGGCAGCGGGATGGCCTCACTGGTACCTCTTGGGCAAAGCTCGGAGCTGGCACCTCAGAGGCCGGATTGCAAACCTTGTGAGCGTTGTCAGCACCGATTTGAATGCGGAGACCTGTGGTGGAGGGGATGGGTGGGCTCCGGCCATCTGGAGGTGGCCCCACAGCCTGACCTCTCCCCACAGCAGACAGATGAGGCGGCACAGACGGACAGCCAGCCACTCCACCCCTCCGACCCCACGGAGAAGCAGCAGCCCAAGCGGCTACACGTCTCCAACATCCCCTTCCGGTTCAGGGACCCCGACCTACGGCAAATGTTCGGGGTGAGTGTGCTCGGGCTGGCCAGTCCCTGCCCACACCCGTGACTCCCTGGGGACCCTGTGGGGTAAGGCAGGAGGTCTGTTGTGGCAGCCCCACTCCCTGGGCAGAAACCCCCCACACCTTGTGTCCTCTGTCCTCCAGGGCTTCCTAGAGTCCACTGGGTTATCAGTCTCTGCTTACTGTTTTCTGACTCCTGACCCCTGACCCCTGCAGAGGACACTGGAGGACACATAGCCTTCTGTGTGCCTGGGGACCAGTCATCCCCCTGTGTGGGCCTGAGTCCTCCTGGTCCCCAGGTGAGGTGACCTAGAAATGCACAGTTGTCTTGAAGCAAGTGAGGATTCCCTACATGAATCTCGAGTCTGTTTCGATTTTGCACCCTGGGTTCCAGTAGTTGCAGGCCGCCGTGAGAACGTGCGGGGCTGCCCCTGAGTTCTGTCCCCAGACTGGAGCACCTGGAAGGTGCGAACACCCATGGTGCTGGGGCTGCGGTGGAGAAACGGGCTGGGTGTAGTGCAGCCTGGCCTGTGTCTCTTGCCCACCACTGTACCGCCCCCACCTCTGCCACACAGTGGGGCAGCTCTGAGCCCCAGCCAGCCTCTCAGGCTCATCCCACACAGCTGGAACTTGTCAGGGAAACAGGGTGCAGCAGCCCAAGATGGACAGTCCCAGCACCCATCCCTAGGCTAGCCCCAGCAGAAATGCACTCCCCGTCCCGGGGGTCGGGTCCTTGGGTCTGGAGCTCAGACTCACCACAGAGCTGGCATGATTGAGTCATCAGCGGAAAAGGCTGTGTCCCCTCAGCCCCGTGGGTTCAGGTGCACCAGACCTTTCTGACCCACTCCCCTTTCGGTGGCAGTGTGTGGTGGGCCTGCTCCCTGGGTCCACGGGCGGGGGGCAGGCCCCAGCCTACATCAGGTCCTGGGGTCGTAGAATGGGAGGGCAGGTCCCCCTTTCCAGAGCCTGGCAGATTGGGATTCTGTTGCTGCCAGCTCCCTAGGCCTCGAGTCCCCACTTCTCCTGCCTCCGGGGGTGGCTGGTGCAGGAGCTTCAGATCAGGGCCCTGAGGACTTCACAGGTGGTTTTCAGGACCCTGGCTCTCAGATTCGCAGCCTCACACTACCCTGAGACAGGAAGCGGGTACCCGGACTGTGTCGCCCATCCTGAAAAGGCCTGGGTTCTGGACACTGCGGCCTGTACCCCGCGCACAGCTGGCCACACCCAGCACACAGGATGGGTGGTGCAGGCCCACGGTGCCTCTCTCATCCTCATCCCTCTGCTCGGCCCCTCCCCACCTACCTTCTCCTGGCTGGATCTCTCTTCCTCCCACTGAAGGGAAGCCTGAAGGTCCCCATTTCCCAGTCCCGGCTCGTGCCACTCCATATCCCTTGGAGAAGGTGTGCATGTGGGTGGCAGCCCATCCCCACTGTGGCTGGGGGAGGACGACCCGGTTATACAGTACCCACTCCATCCCCAGTCCGGCCGGCAGATGTGCCAGGGCCCAGGCAGGACACACTCCCTAAGGAGGACCCAGAGGTCCATGCCAGGTGACGAAGGCGGGAGTAGGGCATCCCAGGGCTCTCATCCCCACTCCTGGGGCACCAAGACCACCACAAGGGGCAGACTGGCCGCCTTCTGATGCACCTTTTCCTGTCTCCCACCCTCCTCTCTGTCTCTGTCTTTGCAGCAATTTGGAAAGATTTTAGACGTGGAGATCATTTTTAACGAGCGGGGCTCCAAGGTGGGTGCCGCGCAGAGGCTGCCACCGTTTCCGGCTGTAGGTCCTGCCAGGCTAACGTGTGACATGTGCGTTTCCTTCCTGGAGAGCTTCGTGCCCGAGGACCCCTGAGCAACACGGGTGCTTGTACTCCCCGCTCTCTCACCCCACCCCAGCTGTCTGTGTTGTTGCTGCCACACTGCTGCTTCTCTCTGAGCTGCCGGGACCTCTTGCCTGCACTCCAGAGCCCCATCCTGGGCCTGGGACCCTGCCTGTTCACTCACCCCCAGGCCCTCGGGTGCCCTTAGACTTGGCCTGCAGGCTTTGGGGAGGGGCTGCGGGGTGCCCAGCAGACCCGCTCCCCGTCCAGGAGAGCGAGACCCCAGCTGCTGGGGCGGAGGCAGGTGGGGCTGTGTCCCCTGGACCTCCTGAAGCCCAGCCTCAGCCCCTAAGCAGGTTAGCATCTCTGCAGCTCTGGCCTGTCCCTCCGAGCTGCCAGCTGTCAGCTCAGGTTGGGCTTGGGAGGCCGGCAGCTGCCCACCCTGGGGCCCACACCCTGTGCACCCTGCCGGTAGCACCAGAAGGCCTCTGGGCTGCCTGAGCCTCTCCTCGGAGCCCCCTGACTCGGCCCCTTCTCTCTCTCCCTCTGTCTCTCTCCTTCCCTGTCCCCATGGCCCTGCCCTACCCCCCCATTCCCCTGCTGCCCCTTTTTCTCAACCTATCTTCTCTCCGTGTCTGTCCTCCTCTGCTCGCAGGGTTTTGGGTTTGTAACTTTTGAAACTAGCTCAGATGCTGACCGAGCCCGGGAGAAGCTGAATGGGACGATCGTAGAGGGACGGAAAATTGAGGTGCTCAGATAAGTGTGCGGCGGCAGGGAGGACCTGGACAACACCTGCCCCGTCCTCCTCCCTGGGTCCCCCTCCAGCCTAGCACTGTCTGCCCTGCAGAAAGCCCCACCAGGGTCCTCCATGAGGGAGGAAAGCTCATGTCAAGGCCAGACCCTGCCCTCCCACCACGGGGCTGTCTCTGTCTGAGCGCGTTGCTTCCCGCTAAGCTCAAGCTCACCCAGGGGTCCCTCCACTCTCCCCACCTTCTACCTCTTCCTGGAAGAGCCCTTCCCCACCCAGGGGCCCTCAAAACTGTGCTCCGGGCTTTGGCAACATCAAGGACTACAGCCAGCCTGCCCGGCCCACCCCAGGCGGGAGCCGTGAATCCCTTCTTCACCAGGAGCAGCGGCTGCCCGCCCCTCCGCTCTGCCTAACAATGTGCCCATGGTCCCCTTCTCTTCTGTGCCAGCTTTGGCGGAAGCAGAGGCAGCACCCAGCGGCCACAAGGGCAGCAGGCAGAGGAGCCTGGGCCTCCTGGCCCCCTCCTGCCTCATGTCGTGACTCTGGTGCTGCAGCTCTGTACCCAGAGCTGGTCCCATAACAGCAGGGCTGAGAAAGGGGCAGAAGGGCCCACAGCTCAGGGGGAGCCCGTGGGGCATGTGGCTGGAGGGTTCGGAAGCTAGAGGCACTGGCCTGTTCTGGTGCCCGTGGTCTCCGGACCCAGTGCTCAAGTCCCACCTGCCCTCTTCCCAACTCCCTTCCACATCGGCCGCTCGTTTTGTGTTCCCTCGGGCAGGTGTGGGATGTACAGGTGTGGCGTGGGACCCAGCCCCTTGGCCCTGCCCATCTAAAGCACCCACCCACCTTGCCCCCAGGATGTACAGACCCATCAGCAAGCTTCCAGCTCTGCAGAACAGCAGAGGGTCCCCACCAGGAAAGGGGTACTTGCATAGGGCTGGGGAGTGGCCCCCTTGGGCACACAACTAGGAGGGCCTTGGCAGCTGCAGGAGGAGAGACCATCTCCGGGGTCAGCCTGGCAGCCCATCGCAAGCTTCTCCACAGGTCTGGGGTGCCCGAGGGGCTGGGCTAGGTTTGTTGGAACTGCTCTAGGCACAAGCCAGTGTGTCTGAGCCAGGGGCCCTGGGACAGGCCGCACGGCAGCTTAGGTGCCCCCGCAGGCCTCCTCCCAGCCCCAGCCCCCTCCCTAGAGGCCATAGGGAAGCAGGAGCAGGCCGGGCAAGACCCTTCACCTTCTGTCTCCCCATCTCTGGACAGGTCAACAATGCTACGGCCCGAGTCATGACCAACAAGAAGACCGGAAACCCCTACACCAATGGTAAGAGGCCCAGAACACCCAGAGCCCCAGGGCCAGGTAGGTGCTGCCCTCCCGGTGCCCCAGCTGTCGTGCTTCTGTCCCGAAGAAGGGGCTGGTCAGCGTCCTCACAGCTGGTATCTCCCGTTGGAGGCCCCTGGGTTTTCCCAAGTACCCACAGCACTCAGAGGCCATGCATACAGACTTCCGGTGGAGCAAAACCGTGGTGACTTCCTGGGTGACTGCTTCTGTGCTCCCAGGGATTCGTGCTTACAGGATGCTGTGGTCAGACCAGCTGCCCTGACTCCTATGCATATGCTTGGGAAGGGCCAGGAAGGGGACTAGAGGGCCTTGGACAAGCTTGCAGACCTCTCCAGGCTCCAGGCTTTTCATGGACAAGACAGGATAGTGACATACACTCAATCGCCCTGGGGCTGATGGCCTAGGGCATGGGGTGGAGGTCCTTCATGTTTTGATGCTGAGGAGAACAGCCATGTCCTTTGGGCTTTGGAAGCCTTTTACATGGGTGAGATGCCCAGGTTGAGCCCTGCTGGATGGTAACGTGGTTAAACTGTGGCTAGCAGTGCAGTGTAGATGGCACAGGTCTCCCTGGAGCAAGCCGTCCCTGTGTGGGGATGGAGTTCGCCGTATCAGTCGCCCTCTCCTGGAGTCAGGTGACTGGCCATGCGGGAAGCCTGTGGTAGGACACGGGCAGATCTGTCCCATGTCCCATGCAGCATGATCTGATCTCCTTGAGGCTCAGGTCCTAGGGTGGATTTAGGGCTCTGACCAGGCCCAATTTAGAGTTGAATACTCCTGCCCTGCTCTAGTGAGGACCCAAATCTCTAGTTTTAAGAACTCGGGGGTACCCCCACTTTGCTATAGTACAGCGTCCACCCTAGCCATAATTCCTGTGAACTGGCTTCTGGCACAAGAAATAAAAGCAACACACATACTGTTTTAGATGGACAAGAAAAGGAAGGATTTAGGGGTGGGCATGATAGGAAGCCCTCATGAGTAGAAGTCTTGCCATTAGTCCCAGAGACCATGACCGGGGATGTAGTTGACCCCACAGCCACCCAGAAAGAGCCGCTTCCAAGCCATCATGTCCTCAAATTCATATATATTAAACGTGGCAAAACCCTTCTTTGAGATATAGGTCTGTGGCAGCCAGAGAACTTGAATGTGGCCTGGCGTGGGCCCTCTGGCACATGCTCCTGTTCTGCATCTTGATGCGGATGGACATGCTCTGGGTAGCCATGGGCACTGTGCCCTGGGCTTTCCAAAGCCACATCAAATAGTCGTCTAAAGCCTAGACTGGGGCAGCACCAAGGCAGAGACGTGGACGTCCGTCCACTGGAACGTGTGTCCCCATGGTCCCTTGGTTTAACCCTTCCAAGCGACAGCTGCATATACTACTGAGGGGGCTGCTACTTGCAGTCACTGCATCTACTGCCCACCGGGGAAGGAGCTGGTTGGTTTAACTGGCTGCAGAGTGGTAGACATATCCACAGGGTTAGGGTGACGGAGGGGCTAAGACACCACCGGAACCTCTGCCCACTCTGCACTCAAGATCCCCCTGTTGCTAGGCACGGTGGGACAAGCTTGTAACCAAAGCTACTCAGGAGGCTGAGGCAGGTCGGTTACAAGTTCAGGGCCAGCATGGGTCATTTAGTGAGAACCTGCTCTAAATGTGTAAAAAAAAAAAATGAGGGAGAGGGCAGAGCTGGACACAGCATCCTGGACACCTCCCACCCACCACTCTGCGGGGGGCTGACAGTATCTGGGCTTGGGGCTCCCACGTGGAGTTCCCTGCTGAGGTCCATGCCGCCCTCCCCAGGAGAGATCTTGCCAGATAGCCAGTGGATCCAGGCCCCCCTTTCTCCTCACACAAGGCGTTGGGCCTGCAAACCATGCTGCACAGATAAGACCCGAGCAGGTGAGGCAGGGACAGTGGCCTGGACGGTAGCCCTCCTCTGGCCCGAGCCCACTCAGAGCCACCTTTTTGGGCCTCTAGGTGGAGTCAGATCTTTGCTCCTGGATCCCCAGGGGGAGAAGACTGACCCACCTACAGGAAGAGAAAGCAACAAGCAGATAGATTTCCAGATGGGACCTAGGAAGGCTGCAGTTCAAGCTCCTTCATGACCCAAGGTCCTGCACTGCCCCCATAAGCCTCCACCTCACCATCCGTAAAATGGGGAGAGAGTGATGCCTCCCTGTTGATGGCAAACACCCCAGAGGTTTAGTGCCCCAGAACTGTTAATGGTCATCATTTTTGTCCCTGACCGTTGCCCTCCCCCCACCTCCTCCAGGCCCAGCATCCCTGCCGGTGAGAGGCTAGAGAGCAGAGTGAGAGGCCTTCACTCTGGGGGAGGGAGCCCCTGGGGGCTGAAACGGGGTGGAGAAGCCCCTGAGACACGATCCCTCATCCCAGCTGTAACCCGAGTCGAGTCAGTAGACAGCTTTCCTCTTCCCCTTACACCTCAAGCTTCAGGACTGGGGGGGGGGTGCCTAATTTCTTTCACAAG